TAAGAAAGTGGTCTAGTTTCATTCTTCTGCATGTTCTTGTCCAGTTCTCCCAGCACCATTTGTTAAAGAGACTGTCTTTTTTCCATTGGATGTTCTTTCCTGCTTTGTCAAAGATGAGTTGGCCATACGTTTGTGGGTCTAGTTCTGGGGTTTCTATTCTATTCCATTGGTCTATGTGTCTGTTTTTGTGCCAATACCATGCTGTCTTGATGATGACAGCTTTGTAGTAGAGGCTAAAGTCTGGGACTGTGATGCCTCCCTCTTTGGTCGTCTTCTTTAATATTACGTTGGCTATTCAGGGTCTTGTGTGGTTCCATACAAATTTTAGGATTGCTTGTTCTAGCTTTGAGAAGAATGTTGGTGCAATTTTGATTGGGATTGCATTGAATGTGTAGATTGCTTTGGGTAGTATTGACATTTTAACAATATTCCTTCCAATACAGGAGCATGGAATGTTTTTCCATTTCTTTGTATCTTCTTCAGTTTCCTTCATAAGCTTTCTATAGTTTTAAGCATACAGATCTTTTACATTTTGGTTAGGTTTATCCTAGGTATTTTACGCTTCTTGGCGCAATTGTGAATGGGATCAGTTTCTTTGTCTTTCTGTTGCTTCATTATTAGTGTATGAGAATGTAACTATCTCAAGAAACAAGAAAAATCCCAAATATAAAATCTAACAGCACACCTAAAGGATAAACAAGCAGAACAGCAAGGACACCCCAAACCCAGCAGAAAAAGAGAAATAATAAAGATCAGAGGAGAAATAAACTATATAGAATCTAAAAACAAACAAACAAAAAAAAAACAGTAGAGCAGATCAATGAAACCAAGAGTTGGTTTTTTGAAAAAATAAACAAAATTGATAAACCTCTAGCCAGGCTTCTCAAAAAAGAAAAGGGAGATAACCCAAATAGATCAAATCATGAATGAAAATGGAATTATTACAACCAATCCATCAGAAATACAAACAATTATCAGGAATACCATGAAAAATTATATGCCAACAAATTGGACAACCTGGAAGAAATGGACAAATTCCTAAGCACCCACACACTTCCAGAACTCAAACAGGAAGAAATAGAAGAAATGAATCAGTGAAGAAATTGAATCAGTTATAAAAAATCTCCCAACAAATAAGAGTCCAGGACCAGATGGCTTCCCTGGGGGAATTCTACCAGACATTTGAAGCAGAGATAATACCTATCCTTCTCAAGCTGTTCCAAAAAAATAGGGGAGGAAAACTTCCAGACTCATTCTATGAAGCCAGCATTACTTTGATTCCTAAACCAGACAGAGACCCAGCAAAAAAAAAAAAAAAAAAAAAAAAAAAAAAAAACTACAGCCAATATCCCTGATGAGTATGGATGCAAAAATTCCCAATAAGATACTAGCAAATCGAATTCAACAGCATATAAAAAGAATTCTTCACTATGATCAAGTGGGATTCATTTCTGGGCTGCAGGGCTGGTTCAGTATTTGAAAATCAATCATTGTGATACATGACGTTAATAAAAGAAAAGATAAGAGCCATATGATCCTGTCAATTGATGCAGAAAAAGCATTTGACAAAATTCAGCATCCTTTCTTAATAAAAACCCTCGAGAAAGTCGGGATAGAAGGAACATACTTAAACATCATAAAAGCCATTTATGAAAAGCCCACTGCTAATATCATCCTCAATGATGATAGCATTAGCTATCTATTAGCTAATCAATTAGCAACTGAGAGCTTTCTCCCTGAGATCAGGAACACGACAGGGATGTCCACTCTCACCGCTGTTGTTTAACATAGTGTTGGAAGTTCTGGCATCAGCAATCAGACAACAAAAGGAAATCAAAGGCATCAAAATTGGCAAAGATGAAGTCAAGCTTTCGCTTTTTGCAGATTGACATGATACTATACATGGAAAACCTGATAGACTCCATCAAAAGTCTGCTAGAACTGATACATAAATTCAGCAAAGTCACAGGATACAAAATTAATGTCCTTATTTGATTTTAATAGCCGTACTATATTTCATGAGGTAGGTCATTTTTCCTCATTTAATCTCTGGAACAGTGTTTATAAGAAGCATGTTGAATCTTCAAATTCTGTTGGAACGTCCTAGTAAAACTGCCTAAGCCTGGATATTTTCTTAGGGGGTAATAATGGTAGGAAAATAGCTTTTTGGTGGCTGTTGAGTTACCATTATAATTTCTGTAATGATGATTGAATTACCTAAGTTTTTTCCTTTGAGCTATTTTTGACAAATTTTTAGAAATTAACCAACTTCCTTGGTATGATCACTTGTTGGAATATGAATTAAAAATCTATAGGAGGCCATTTGTTTACAAAGTATATATTTTCTTTGAAGATGTGTTGCTATTCAAGTCCTATGCCCATTAACAAAAATAGGTTGGTTTTTCATTATTAAGTTTTCAGAGTTCTTAATATACCCTGGATATGAACCCCTTACCAGATAAATAACTTTCAAATTCTTTCTTTTATCTCAGGGATTGCCTTTTCACTCTGATATTGTCCTCTCATATATGAAAGTTTAATTTTGATATGGCCTCATTTATTTCTAATTTTGTTGCCTGTCCTTTTGGTGTTACATTCAGTAAATCATGGCCAAAGTGAACACCGTAAAGCTTTCCTCTACATTTTCTTTTTAAAAAAATTTTTTGTAAAATATTTATTTATTCTTGAGAGAGAGACAGAGACAGAGTGTGAGTGGGGAGGGTCAGAGAGAGAGAGAGGGAGACACAGAATCTGAAGCAGGCTCCAGGCTCTGAGCTGTCAGCACAGAGCCCAACACGGGGCTCAAACTCACAAACTTTGAGATCATGACCTGAGCTGAAGTCAGATGCTCAACCGACTGAGCCACCCAGGTGCCCCTCTTCTACATTTTCTTTAGAGTTTTATAATTTTTATTCTTAGAGGTAGGTGTTTGTTTCATTTGAGGTTTTGTATATGATGTTAAATAAAACCCAACTTGATTATTTTGCATCTGGATATCGAGTTTTCTCAGTGTCATTTGTTGAAAAATTGTCCTTTGCCACTGAATGTTTTTTGCATCCTTGTAAAAAACGAACTATATAAGCAGGGGTTTATTTCTGGGCACTCTATTGTATTCCACTGGTATATATGTCTTTATGCCAGGACTGTTTGAGTTGGTCACTGTAGTTTCCCAGTAAGCTTTGAAATCAAGAAGTGTGAGATGTCCAACTTTTTTTAGTTAAAGATTGTTTTGGTTATTCAGAGTGAGAAAGTGCTCTCTAACATTATAGACATTAACAATTTCTCTTTATTCTTCTGTCTTCATTATCTAGCATGGTGCCTCAAACCCAGTAGATGTTTAATACATATTAATGTGAGAATTGAAAAAAATTGGGAGAGTTTTTTATAGTATAAGATTCGGAATGTTCTTACAGAATAGTGAATTTCTTTTCCTCCAATATTATGGAGTAGAAAATTGGACTTACTGTAGAAACTTGAAAGAATGATACCCACAAATTTTTTCTTACTCTTCATTAGTTCACAGTTGTTCTTTAAGAAGTGTGTCTGCAGATAAGAACATCTCTTTTTACCTGTGTTGTGGAGTTTTTGAAAAAGTAGCATAGATGGAGTCCACTTGCAAGTGTCAGTAAGAATAACAACAACAAAAAAAAGAGGCAGAGGACTCAGGTCAGAGGACATCAGAGGATGGCAGAGGACATCCGATAAAAGGATGATTGGTGCATTGTTCCTGTTCTACTAGGTATGGGTTCATCTAGAGTCACATAATGAAAAACATTTCAATCACATTTAGTCCTTCAACCTATTATGTTAACTTGTGTAGTATGAGCATTAACATCCGGATGGTAGCGTAGCAGTTGGTAGCCAAAACAAAACCGACTTCTTAAACAGATCTAAGAACTTTGAGTCCTATTTGAGGCTCTTAAGTAAAAACTTAAGAAAAATTAGGCTTAATAAATTCATTTTTGTGTATATCTGAATTACATAATATTCATCCATGGCAGGTATCCATATGCTGGTTTTGTTAAGTTGGGAATTCTCCTCCTCCTCTTCCTTTTTAAATTTTTTTTTAATTTTGGTTAAATTTATCAAAGGAGCAAGAGTGAGACTTTGAACGCTGAAGTGAAACAGAAGCCATTTTTCTCCTAAGGTCTTTGTGCTTTCAGACTAGGTGACGGACAGACAAATGGTGCCTTGCGGGATCCAACCTGTCCTTCCCATCATGTTCCGCCATCTAACTGATCCTAATGATGGCTAGTCATCATTACTGTTTTACCATAACCAGCCTTGGTTCATCACTGGGCTGGGGACCCACTGAGGCAGGAACTATACGAGGGCAACTATTGTTCACAGATCTCAGCATAACTTTGTCCTCAAAGTCCCCCTTAGGTGTCTGGGTAGGTTTGGCTTGTCAGACTGATGAATCAATGATGACTCTTCTGATCCTTCAACACATCCTTTATTCTGCTCCTTCCCTAGTAATTCTGACAATTGTGTGAGGTCTGATTCCTGTGTGACAAGTGATTAGATCACTTACAGTAGCCCTGCTCCCCAGACCGATAAATCCTGTATAGTCAGCTCTTACTGAGTTGTGAGCACTGCTAAATTTTCTTACTTTGTTTACAAAAGAATACATTTTGGAAGACACACAATTCTTGCATAAAAATATTCTGTGGTGTTTGGTGCCAATGTTACTTGATTTTGTAATACAGCTTTCTTATTGTTTCACAAAGTATTACCACAAGAACTAGAAGGAAAGTTTTGCTTTTAAGTGGTTCCCACAGGATTGTGGTTTATTGGTCTGCTGCCTAGAACTTTAAATTCCTATATAATGACATAAAAAAAAATTGCTAACTATATAATATTAAAGCTGGCATGTTTAGGAACAACCTTTGTTGTAGAGAATACCCTGATCTGAGTTAGTTTTGTGTAATCTATCCCTCCAAACTACATGTCTCTTAACATGTATTTAAATATTATGCATTTTAACACATAAAAATATTGACATGTCATTTCCAAGTTTGCTGCATTTTGTGGACAGGATTTTTTTTTGCGCCTTGACATCTTGAAAATGTTTCAAATTGTGAGCTATAAATGTGATTTTGGCATTTATCTGGTCCATTTGAGGATACCATTTCATATGCTTTAGAGTAAATTCAATTTTGTTGGAAGTCTAGTGGAAATCTGTTTTTTCCCCTGAGAACATCTTGGATAAGGGTTTGTCAGTGACACTTAGGTGTACCGTTGAATGCCAACATGGCCATGTTTGATAAAACCTCACAGTAAGTAGCCTGAAACATTAAATGAGTGGAAGTTCTCTGCTCAAAGTATTCTCTAGATTCTAAATCAAATCATCATCCACAGCTTTTGACGTCTACTGATGACACAATAGCTCGAATGGCCGACTTTGAAGTAGATAAAAAATAATTTGCTACCTATATGTATTGAGACAGAAACAAATACAGAGATGATCTATTTATGTTATATATATCTGTATAATAGATCTATGGTGAAGGCAGTAAAGACCAACTAAAAGTAGGCAGAAAATGAAAGAGATTCAATCCCTGACGGGAATCAACAGTGGATAAAACCCACATTTACATGAGATGCCACCTAATTTGTCTCTCACGTCTAAATCTACTTGTCACTGCTGTCTTGCTAGATCCTGTGGACATCTCTCCGTTGCCAAGAAAATTTTAGTTTGCTCAGTGGAGGGTGCTGAAGGGGTAGTGTGGGAGGAAGGGGTTTTTCCTCCTGGTTGTGGTATGCTTGCATTCCTGCCGGGTCCACAGCTGCTATTATCATGGGTGTGCAGCGTGGAGTGTTGTTTATTCTCTATCAAGTTTTTGATGGCAGTTCTGGCCCCCCATTCCCTGCCAGGCAGCTTTTGTTTGCTGACACCCTAGTGAAGGTTTTCATGTTGGCCAGCCCCAGCCTGCGGTTATGTGCCTTTTAACCTTAGTTCCCTGGCACAGTAGAAGGCTCCAGCTTGTTGGTCCCTGTGTGCAGTACCCTGTTCAGCTGCCTTGAGTTCTTGGCCATGTATCGTAGCCCATGGTTTCTGACATCCCAGCCTTGGCCTGCTGATGGTGCACCATCTCTGGCCCAGGTCAGGCTGCTAAACTTCTTGACCATCCAATGGGCTAGAGCCAGGCCTTTGCATTTATTATTATTTAAAAAAATTTTTTTTAAATGTTTATTTTGAGACAGTGAGTGAGTACATGCAGCCACGGGAGGGGCAGAGAGATGGGGAGAGAGAATCCCAAGCAGGTTCAGCGCTGTCAGCTCAGAGCATGTTGCAGGACTCCATCTCACCACCAGAGCCCAAATCAGGAGCTCAGATGCTTAACCAACTGAGCCATCCAGGCACTGCAGCCAGACCTTTTTATTTTTATTTATTTATTTATTTTTAATTTTTTTTTCAACATTTATTTATTTTTGAGACAGAGACAGAGCATGAATGGGGGAGGGGCAGAGAGAGGGAGACACAGAATCGGAAACAGGCTCCAGGCTCTGAGCCATCAGCCCAGAGCCTGACGCGGGGCTCGAACTCACGGACCGCGAGATTGTGACCTGGCTGAAGTCGGACGCTTAACCGACTGCGCCACCCAGGCGCCCCATCCAGACCTTTTTAAAGGTCTAAGCTCTCAATTTCAGCTGTGGAGAGGGGGGCCTCTTTTTTCTAAGTTTGTTCCTTTCTTGGGTATATTTCCTCAGACTTTTTAGAGTTTTACTCATTGTCAGATAGGCAATAATGGCATTGTCAGAGCCTGTGGGGCCTGGGTAGTCAGCTGGCCAGAGGAGCTGAGAGAAGATGCTGGGACAGTGGCAGCAGGTGTATTGGATATTAAGAAAATTGGAGATGAGTACTTTACATTCATCACTGAGTGTAAAGACCCCAAGGCCTGTACCATTCTCCTCCATGGGGCCAGCAAAGAGAACCTCTCAGAAGTGAAATGCAACCTCCAGAATGCCATGCAAGTATGTCCCCATGTCCTTCTGGACCCCCAGATGATTCCAGGAGGTGGGGCCTCTGAAATAGCTGTGGCCCATGTTTTGACAGAAAAGTCCAAGACTGTGACTGGTGTGCAACAATGGCCATACAGGCCATTAGGCTGTTGTCCAGGCCTTAGAGGTCGTTCTTCGTACCCTTATCCAGAACTCTGAGGCCAGTGCTATCTATCTGCTTACTTTCCTTTGGGCCAAGTACACCCAGAAAGCTTTGAAACCAGTACCTTGGTGGACATGAAAGAGGTGGGCATCTGGGTGCCCCTGGCTGTCAAGCTGCAAACATAAAAGACAGCAGTTCTGCTACTGGGGATTGAGGACTTCATCTCCAACCACAAAAAAAAAAAAAAAAAAAAAAGGGCGATGACCATAGCAAGGCAGGCTTCCACTGCTGGCCAGGAGTGAGTGGTGGGCAAGGCGACCTCAGTGTACAGAGCCAGCAGATGCTCCCTCTTCCTTGAGCTAGACTCTCAGGGACACTGTGGATGTCTTTGGAAGGGATCAGATTGAGGGGTGGCCCCAGCTCCTTTCTGTCTGAGCTCAGTTTGCAAAAGGCAAACAGGTCTTGAAAGAAAATATATAGTTTGTAAACCAATGGCTTCCTATAGATTTTTAATTAATATGCCAACAAGTGATGATATCAAGGAAATTGGTCAATTTCTAAAAAAAAAGTGTCAAAAATAGCTCAAAGGAGAAAACCTAGATAATTCAATAACCATTACAGAAATTATGTTAATTCAACAGCTACCAAAAAGCTATCTTCCTAACCTATTGCCCCCTAAAAAAAATCTCCAGGCTTAGGCAGTTTTAGTAGGAAGTTCTAACAGAATTTGAAGATTCAACATGCTTCTTATACACACTCTTCCAGAGAATAAGTGAGGAAAAATGACCTACCTCATGAAATATAGTGTTGGTATTAAAATCAAATAAGGACAGGGGTGCCTGGGTGGCGTCACATGAGAGTTTTCTCTTTTGTAAGATTGCTACTTAGTTTGCTTCTGATGATTAAATCCAAGTCATTACAAAAATAAAAGACCTTTAAAGAGAGGTTTAAACCTTTCTTGTTCAAATTATGTGTAGTGTACAAGTCCTTACTGAAGAGTGAAGAATATCATTTTCCTTGTTTATCTTGAGGCCACTTCTCCATTCCTGTAGTGGCAAGGAAGAAAGCTACGATTTTTGTCCTGAGAAGCCACAGTCTAGAACACGGGACTCCCAGGGCAGTTGGGATGGCTACAGAACAGTTGGGGCATATGTGATTATAACATCTTGAAGGCTTTGCTAACTCCTGAACTGTACAGTATGGGGCAGTACTCCAAGGCAGTGTGAAGACATCAGGTGGAAGGCTGAAAGATGACCAGAGACTGAAGCAGGTACTCACCCCCAAGGAAACAGAGTTGAGGGTTGGAATCCTGTCATGTTAAAAGTAGTGAGTAAACACCCTGGGATTTTCATTAATAATCCAGAAGGACCACATCTTAAGAGTAGAGACCACTTACAGGCAACAGTCACCTCTCTTCAGAGAAAGAAGAAAGACTTGTCTGTAACATGTATCTACAGTGTCCACTCAGTTGAAAGTTATTATATGTTCAAAAAAAAAAAAAAAGTAAAGGTGATTTATATTAAGAAAATGAGTCAATAGAAAAAAAAAACCCAGATGTTGGAAACAGTAGTGTTTCAAAATAAGAATATTGAAAAGTTGAATATACAAGAAAACATTGACTTAATAGATGAGACCTGATGAATTTCAAGACAAATACAGAAAATATAAAAAAAAAGAATACAATGAAAACTGAGAACTGAAAAAACATCCAGGATAAAAAAAAATATTGAAATCTGTTGGCTGTGATCAACAATGAATTGAAGAATGTGGTGAACTTGAAAATAGACTATGTTCTATGAGTCTAAGGGGGAAGTGGCCAGTCTTGTTAGGTTCCAGGTCTGTGCCTAGGCCCTATCTCTTTTCTTTTACTATGTAGGTCGGAGTAGTTAGAAGACAGCCAGTAGAAAACAGATTGCCTTCCTCAAAGAATTTGAGGCTGCTTATCTCTCACAATCATTCTGTTTTAAGAGTAACACATGGAGAAGATAGCTGAATTTCTGCTAGTTTCAGCAACTTACTCTTAGACTTCTTGGAGTCTTTGTTTTCTTGTCCATGAAAGGGGATAATACAGTGTTGGCTGGATGGAGAAAGAAATGTCTCTAAATAGTATACAATTAAAGTTACGTATTATGAACAATTCTATTCTTCATTTCAATCACTTCAGTCCCTGGTAACATTTATATGTAAATGTGGTTAATTATATGAACTTTTTTCTTTGTTTCATCATTTTGAGATAGATTTGTAAGTAATGTAGAATTGTGTGAAACTTTTTCCTATTTCCAATAATGTTTTATTATTGAGCATAAATAGTGTATATAAGTTGTTGAACCAGCTACGTATTATAACTTAAATCAGGAATTTTGATCTAAGGCTATATGTTATGTAATAAAAAAATAATAGAGGCAGTCGTAGGGTACTATACTTGATACTGTAGTAATAAATGAACTTCCACTTTGAGCAGGTACTGACATAAAGCCACTGTTCTGGTCAGTATTCCCTTTGAGGGGCTTGCCTGTCTTGACAGAAAGGCCTCCTAATATATACTACCTTTCTTAAGCCTGTTCTCCTTCCCAGTGATGGAAGAAGTTAAGAATATTTTGGGACCCCAAAATACCCTACTTTTATTTCTAGTTCTGTGAACTTGAACAGTAATGAGCACGATCTTAAATATTTCTGGGCCGATATTCACCCCTGTACCCGAAAATCTAAAATTTTTTTGCCCTTCATTTTATGGTTCAGAAACAGGTAAAGAGTTGGGTATGGCAATGATTACCTCTGAGTAGCGGTTGACAGGATACTCAGTGGTCATTTGGTTGGTGATATAAGCCTAAGTAAGCATGAGATATTAATGCAGCTGAGACTGAGCCGATGGAATGATGCCCTCAAAGCATATAAGAGGTTGCAGTAGTGAAGACATTGGCCAGGTGAATCACGACAAGGGCATTTCAAGTTGGGTTAGAAAATAAACAGTTGGCTCAAAAGAGATTTCATACTTCATTTCAAACTGTTAACTTCAAAAGATTAATTTCAGTCATAGAAATACTGGCCTCAGTTTGCAGCGTTCCAGTAATGACTGATCTTTTAGCTTACACAATTAAAACCGATTTGGCCACATATTTCTATTCATTGTTAGATTTCTTAATTTAAAATACATGGTACTTAAATAATAAAATGCAGTATTTATTGAACAAAAGTAAATGCCTATCACTTAATATAGAACCACTTGCCCTTTTGATTTCAGTTGTCTTTTTGGTATCTGTTGTGCCTAAGTGTCTATTTTAAGCAGCAGGTATTTTCAGCTGCTGTTCACTGCTCGGTTGGTTGGGAGTTTATATAGAGAAGGATTGACCAAGGAGGAGTGTACATGTTTTTTTTAAGATTATTATAGATCGTCAGTTGAAACTGATTGAAAATGTCTTCTTCTGCCTCATCTTAGAATACACTTAATTTGTTAAATTAACATGGAACTACCCATTCATGCAAAGGGAAAGGCAGACTACTAGTTCAGATTATCCACTCTATGGAAGGCAGAATAAATAGTATGTGATAGATTCCTATTTTATAATTAAGAGGTTAAGGTACTTGGACAGTATCTATCTGTTGAATGACAAAAACAAGATCAAAATTGTGGTATCATTACAATACCTGTTAGGTTTCCTGAAATTGATTGTTACAACAATGGCATGCTTTATTCTAGTACATCTTGATGATACTCACTTGTAAAAAGTATAATTACTTATACGATATTTTTTCAATAAGATTTGGCAACACAGAATGAAAAGACTGGAGTATTTCCTTACCTACTTCATTGGAAGTATATTCAGTACAGTTTTTATTAGCATATTGTCTGTCTTTTTATCTCTGGTTTTCATCTTTTTGGTTTAACTTTGTGGGTTAGTCTTGATGTTGAATATGTTTTTTTATATATATGCCCGAGGGGAATAAGTGTATTTGAAATGGAATAAAATAGGATGACTAACTCCATTATTTTCTGATCGAGTTCAGTGAAGGAGGTTCAGGAAACATCCTTCTTAATTGTGTTTAATGATTCTAAATTCCTTTCTTGGAAACACACCTTTTTCTTAGTCATAGTAGTCTGTAGGGTAATGAGAAAACTGCCAGGAAAAATGTTTTATCCTGTAATTCTAAAAATAACTAAAACTTGTAAAATGCTTTGGTCAGGCTTTTTTTTTTTTTCTTTTTCTTCTTAAGGTAATCGGAAGTTTCTTTATAAGTTAAATGTCCAAAGCCTTCCTTAATCTGATGAAGATAGTTTGCAACATGGGTGCAGTCTGTGTGTTCCCTACCACAAAATACTAAATGGAATTAAGAGTATCAGGAAGTTACACTTTTCCCCTTTCATTAGAAGTAAGTTAGCATACTTACTGCAAACTTGATTTTGATGTATTTTGGAATGCATAAATGCCCTTTGTTTTCAACCCTATTCTAAATCATGTTAGATCCTGTCCTAGTGGGATATAAAGCAGTGTAATATGTGGGGGGGGGAACCCTTAAAATGCAGCACTGAAGATACAGTTAAATTTTATTTTTTTTTATTTTTACCATGGCTTTATTCATTAAGATGAAGGAATTTATTAATTTATTAAATTAAGTTTTAATTCTAAAAGGAACATCTTTTCTTTAATAAGTTCTTTTTGAAGAGGGGTTACCACTGTCAAATTTGTACTTAAAATGTCTTCTTGTTTTCATGAACACATTGTGGTAAAAGTTTAATTTAATTAAAAAAAAATTATTCTATGGGAGGGGGGTTGGGCTAAATGGGTAAGGGGCACTAACGAATCTACTCCTGAAATCATTGTTGCACTATATGCTAACTAATTTGGATGTAAATTTTAAAAAATAAAAAATAAATTATTCTAACCAAATGACAATGATCAATAGTATAATTATATATACTTTCTCCCCCTGGTGTAGCTTGCTTCTTGACTCTATTTTTTGGAAGATAAAATAGTGATATTATTTAAAGTGGTATTAAGATTTGGTAGGACTCTTTAGTTTGCACCCAGGTAAAGTGAATCCTGAGATTCACTCAACAACAAAAACAAATCAGGAAACCCCAATTAGAGTTCTTAATTTATCTTTTGTAATTCACATCTGAAAATCCTAGACTAGTCACAGGCCAAGAATCTATGTGTTGATTGATACTGTTGTTAGTAGACTGAAGCTAATGATGAGAAAGGTGTCTATCACAGTAATAAAAAGCCACAGAACTTTGAAATTTCATTTGTTGGGTTTGAACATTGGTTCTTAACCTGTCCGTCTGTTTCATGACCTCATTTTCTTAATGGTTACATAGGTATGTCTTTAAGCCCTATCTCAAAGGGTCAGTGAGAACTTTGGATGAAATATGAAATTTTCAGGTTCAGTGCTTGGTATTAGAAGTGTTTATCAGCTGTTACAGATATCCCCCAAACTCACAGGATGAAACAGCTGTTTACTCTTGTTTGTGGATTGCCTGGGAGTTGGTTGATCCAGGTTGGGCTTGACTGGCTTGTTGTATGTGGTTCCTTGCTTGAGGGCTATGCTCAGGTTTGCTCTCTGTGTGTTTCTTGAGCCCACACTGAAGGGCCAGCAGCTATCTTGGAGAACTTCTTACCGTAATGGCAGAAATTAGAAGACAAGTGGAAAACTCTGATTCTTCATAAGTGATATGCATGCGCCTACCACATTGACACATTTGCTCTCATTCCATTGGACAAATCAAGCCATGTGACCAATCCCAACATCACTTTAGTGAGCGGGTACACTTCACATTTGTGATGGTGGCAAGAAAATGCATATATCATTCTATTACAGGGTAATGAAAAAATTATGACCAGTACTCAAATCATCAGTAGTAAACAAATAGTAGATGTTTCTGTTTTGCCTTTAAAAAATATTAACTTTTTTTTCCTTCTTACCATGTACTTTCTGACATGAACAAAGCAGGTATTGAACCTGTAACATTATTGAGGTATTAACAGCTTTACAAACCTGACTGGTCATATATCATTTTCTCTGCTGACACAAGTGCTTTTTCTCATGCTCTGGCTTAATTTCATCCTGTAGATCACAGCTTAAATATCAACTCCCCATGAAGCCTTCCTGTCTATTTTTCTCCTTCTTTCTAATTCCCGTTTTAATTTCCTTTGTAGTACTTAGTTGGATCTGCAATTATTTGGTTTATTTATGTTTATCCCCTGCAAATATGCAGTCCATGAAGGCAGGGATTTCATCTTCATTGTGTTTGCCTCAGAGATGTTAGCTGATTTTGATAACTGACCATTAGGACCACTTTTCACTTCCTGTGCCTTAAATTCTTCCCTGTACATTTTAAATTCACCAATAAAGACTGAGCCTCCCAACCCGTAGGTCCCCATGCTTGACCCCAGGACAGCAGAACCCTTGACCTGTGCATGTGTGTTCTCTACCTGGGAGCTCATTGTGTATCCCTGGTTATGCTGTGTCATTTCCAAGTTTTGTAAGCGATAAACCTTTATTTTGTTTTTCAAGTTTCCTGATGGTTGTTGTTGAAGGGTATCTGGGAATCACAGTAAGAACAACCAGGGTTAGTTCACTCAAAACATTGTTTTGGAGACAGGAGATGCCTGTTGGGAGGCTGACTGGGGCCCACGTGAGTGCCCCTGGACATTTGCAGCTGATAGCATTCCTATCAGTAGGCTGAGACTGGTACAAAACCGTAAGAATAAAATAAATGGAAGAAAAGCTAGAACACGTTTATGTTTTTAGGTGAAATCAGCTATCTTTACTGTATCTCATTTTGGTATGACAGTTTACTACAAGCATTTATTAAACAACACATTAGAACACTGATCTGATGGGTTTTGAGTCGGCATTTTTATAGGTACTGAATTTAGCAACACCTAAACAAAATCTTTATATCTTGATGCAGAGTATTCAAGGAAGTTGTTTGGATTCTGGAAGGTAATAACCTAAGTAAATGTAGCTCCAGCAGCAGGTTGCTCATACTGTTATAAAGTACATTTCCAATATATAAAGTGGACTAATTCTATGCATTTTATACTTCTTATAGGGCTGAGAGTGACACTAAAGTTCCCAAACTGGTGATTTGAAAATTGAGTACTGCCTGCAAAGGTGTGGGTCTCTCCTGCATTTTATTTTAATTATATATATTTTTAGCATTAAAAGCAAAACAAAACAAAAACAAACCTTACCTTTGTCAACAGCATAAGATTCAGCAGTGCTGGGTTCTCCATATAGTCTTTTGTGCTAAATTGTCAAACAAATGACATCTTCATACACTGTATACTCTTCAGGACTCATTTATAATTATTCTTTTCAATTGCCTTTTAAATCAGATAATGAGGTACAAGATATTTATACTGCCTTTTGTGTTAACTTATGTATGTAGTTACTTTTATTGGCTGTGTCTATTTATGTAGATTCAGGTTGCTGTCTAATGTTACTTCACTTTAGCTTCAAGGCCTCCCTTTGGTGTTTCTAGTAGTGCATGCTGCCTGGCAAAGTATTCTATCACTCTTTGCTTACTTGAGAATGTCATCCTTCATTTATGAAGGATTATTTTGCTGGATATAAAATTCTTAGTTCATGGTCTTTTTCCTATCAGCACTTAGAATATGTTCTCCCACTGCCTTCAGGAGTTCATCAGATATGGTTTCCTTTGGTTCATTAAATATATTTAAAATAACTTGTCTTTAGTAAGTCCAAAGTCTAGTCTTCCTCAGGACAGTTGTATGATTTTCTTGACATATGCTCTTGTTTCTTGGCATATCTGCTAATTTTTTTGAAAACTAACTTTTTTAGTAGTAGAGCAACTTTGGAAATAAGAACCCACACCTCTATGGTTTGCTGTTGAAAATATTTGTTTCTACTTTCTAAAATTTTTTAAAAATGTTTGTTTATTTTTGAGAGAAAGACAGAGACAGAGCATGAACAGAGGAGAGGCAGAGAGAGAGAAGTCACAGAATCCAAAACAGGCCCTAGGCTCTGAACCGTCAGCACAGAGCCCAACGCAGGGCTTGAACTCATGAACCATGAGATCATG